CCACCAGCCACTCCTCGGAAGAAAGATTGGGCAATCTACTTCCATAGTGATGCCCCCTCAGAAACCCAAGAAGGGGTTGCTATGAGTCAGATCTGACGTGACAGCAGTGAGTTTGGTTTGGTTTGGAATCTTCATTGATATTCCATGCCCAGAATAATAATTATTATTCAATTCAGGGTCCAAATTTTCAGAGAATTCAGAGCACATTCAGAGGAAACTAGCCATATGGTGATGGGACTTGTAACAGCAGTCTGAGAAATGGTGGTAGGACACTGGTGATGTTTAGCTGGAGAATGCAAACTCTTGGGGGGAAAATTATAAAAGCTGAATTATTGGGTACTTACTCTAGACCAGGCATTGTGCTCAGCCTTTTAATGTATTTCAAACATTATGGGTCTACTATAATGAAAAGTGAATAGTTTATCTGAGTAGCCCTGGAGGGAAGGGCTAGCATTAGTGAGTGAAAACCACAGAGAGACAACTGTGCTTATTATAATGATAACATTTCTAACTCTCAAAGCTGTCCAATAACAGAAGCCACCTGCTGTTAGTGAGTTGCATGTTATTGGAGGTGCTCAAGCAGAAATTGATCAAACTTTTGATTTAGGTATTTTCATGGACTAGATGAACTCTGAGCCTGTCCAACTTATCCTGTGAATCTATTAATATCTTATAGTACAGCAAACCCCTTCCTTGCCTTCAATGGCGTGAGCCCTAAATAGCCAAAAGTCAACTTCCTATTCAATGGATCAATTGTAGAACACTCTGGCTGCTGCTTTCCCTCCTGAAAATGAAAACAAAAACCAACATAAGCCAGAGTTACAGAGATGGGAAGCCAACATTTTGTGAATGGGTTATTAGTTATAATAAACAGGAGAGCCTATCTCACTTCCTCATTTGGTTCCCACACTCAGTTATTCTTATCATGGCAGAATGAGTGCCATATGTGCTCATGTAGTTTGGAGCCTTCAAATGTTAGTAGCATTTATGACTGTCTTTGTATTTAAATACATTATGTTTCAGAAATACCCTCTGATTGCATTCCTTTATTTGGAGCTTTGTTATTGCTAATGAATGTACTTTGATCATCCACCAATCTATGCTTTCATATCAATTAAGGTCATGTATTAAAAACTGGTTCCAGTGAATGGGGAAAGAATAAATGCTCACTTAAAATAACCAAAGAATAATGTAGTTTTATAGGTAAAGAAAATCTAAATATTGTCTATTTAGAGATGAGAAATTCAAAACCAGAGAGAATAAATTACTTGCTCAAAGTCACATGGCTAGTGGAACTTTGAGCATTTTTCTTTCTTTTTCCTTCCCTCACTGATGCAATCATGTGCTGTACTCTTGGCAAGATATGTTTTTCCCCTCATTTTCCTAGAAAGTGGAACATTTTTATACTACCAGTCCAGTTGCTATTGGGTCAATTCTGACTCACAGTGACCCATGTGTGTCAGGATAGAACGGTGCTGCATAAGGTTTTCGGTGAACGACCTTTCAGAAGTAGTTCTTTCTTTTATGGTGCCTGTGGGTGGACTCACATCTCCAACCTTTCTGTTAACAGCCTAGCACATTAACCACTTGTACCATCCAAGGCACATTTTTATATTACTCACAGTTTATCTTTATTTACAGCTTGATTTGTACGTTACCTAAGTAGGTGGTACTTCAGTAGGATTCTGAAATAGTATTTTCTTTACCCATAACTTTATGTAGGCAGGGGCTCTAAAGGTTGCTTTATAATTAATTCTGGATTGCTCTTGGATATCTACAGTGCTGCATATGATGCTGTCCTCGACAGAAATGTGGCCATTAAGAAGCTCAGCAGACCTTTTCAGAACCAAACGCATGCCAAGAGAGCTTACCGGGAACTGGTCCTCATGAAGTGTGTAAACCATAAAAATGTGAGTTTTGCTGTTATTTTTAAACCTCTGGCAGTGGGAGATTGTGAGACTAGAAGAAGAAAATAAGCAGCAAACTTCAGCAGGAAAGGCTTCCTTAACTTTGCAATTTTAGCCTTTTAAGATTGTTTATCCTGCCCTCATGCTACATTTGATTTCATTGTCCTCATGGTAGCTTTCTGCTTAGAAATCATCTAAAAACCATATGGTGTAGAGGGGATAGATTTGATAGATACTTGCCTGCTATGTAATTAACCATATTTATTTATTTTTTTGTTCCAAACTAACCAGAGATCTTCATGCTTTGCAAAACAACAACTAAATATATGCTAAACTGCCTTGTAATTTTAATTTAATTATTAACAGGTGAAGATTTTTGTTTATCATGTTACCTTTTTTGCTTGTTTGTTTTAGCTGTAATCTGGCACCATACAAGCTATGCTTCAGCATCGTATGTTTTGTAGGGCTAGCAAATATATAGGCATATATTTGCGAATCATTGTTACGGTTATCAAGAACATATTCTCATTGAAACTCAGTGGAGTCCACCAATATAGAAATGTCTTCATCTCAGAGTATAATAAATTAAAGGTTAAGACATTCTATGCTCTAATTTTTGCTGCTATTGTTATTAGGTTCCACTAGTGGCATATCTTTCACCATCACAGCAGCATGCAAGCCACCATAGTATGCTAACTGACGGATGAGTGGAAGTCAGTACTTCTTAGTAAAGATCAAGAAATGATACCTCATTACTTTAAGTTGCTATCATAACTCCTTACAAAGTATGAAAATCATATAGAACACCTGAAATATCAGTGTACTTTTATAACCAAGGGATCTTATCAAAAAGCTAACCATTCTTAGTGGTACCAAGAAGCAGGAAATAATGCATATGTAGCATTACATATTACAATTTTTGGAATTGTACTGTTCTAACTCTTAAACCTGTACAATGTCAGAATAAGTTGCCTTGATGTTAGAGAGCTTTGTGTTATTGGAGATGCTCCAATGACTTTTTTTAATTTAGTCGTTCAACAGAGATTTATAGATACAGATGTTTGTAAGCTCCAGATGATGAGGATACAGTAATGAACAAAACAGGGAGAAACCCTTGTCCATGTGGCACTTATATTCTACTGGTGAGAAAAAGGCAACCTACAAAATACTAAGTAAAATGTAGAAAATGTCAGATGTGATACATTCTATTAAGAAAAATAAAGCCAAGAAGGACAATAATGATAATCATTGCAAGGTAGGTGATGTTACATTTTTAAATATATTGAACGGGGTAAGCACCAATATGAAGAATTTTATGAAGTACATCCCCATCTCTAATTTTGCCATGCAAAGAACACAGGGCTTCTGTAAAGAGAGATAGAAATGATGGAAATGATGACTCCTAAGTAGAGTAATTATATTAGTGCCACTCCTCGGAAGGAAGATGGGGCAATCTACTTCTGTAGTGATACTGCCTCAGAAACCCAAGGAGGGGTCGCTATGAGTCGGGTCTGACTGGACAGCACGTAACAACAACAACATTTTTTAAGTATATTAAATAAAGGCAGAGGCAAGTTTAGCCATATGTCCAATGCAATATATTTTAGTGGTAGCTAAGATGATGAGAAGTGTCACGGGTGTAGGAAGATAGATGGATACAAGCAATGAGGTGACTTATGGAAAGGAATAACAGTTTATACTTTTATATATTTATTATTCTATGAATCCTCCTTTCCCAACCATATAATATGCAATATATTATGGAGAAATTTCCACTTAATAGGCTGATTGGAGGGATTCATGCCCCTATTCTTGACTGAAAGGTGTGGGGCTAATACTTATAATATCTAAAAAGAGTTCAAAAATTGAAATGATAATTTGTAAATAGCACCTTACCTGCCATCCCCCTTTATCTATGTATGTATGAATGTATGAATGTATGTATATACATATGTATGTATGCAAGGCTAAGGAAATAAATTTCTAGGACTTGTGAACAGAGAGAAAATTCACTTCCAATCAATTGTAACCTTTCCATTAGTATTTGTGATTCTAAAAAGCATTTATTTGAATATAAATTGGACACATGGAGCATGTGTCAATGTCATGGATAAAACTATACAGATTCTGATTCAAAAATAATTTTTTGGTGTCAGATACTGTGCTAAGTAGGAAAAATATGTTTGCCTTATAATAGTACTCATGGAAAAAGTCATAAAATGAGAGTAACTTGCTTTGTTGTTAAGAGAAAGATCATGATTAATTTTGTCATTTTTAACTCCATTAATAATGTCAAAGAGAAAAGGAAATTACAAAGATATTTTGAGGAAAAATTAGTGAAGATATGAAATATGTAGCAAAAGTGATCAACCATGACTTTTCAAAATGTTATAGGTAATTTATATTCAAATATTATATTATTTGCTTTGTCTTTTAAGCAATGAGTTCAAAGGGGTTTATTATTGGTATATGAAACAAAAACAATAAAATTATAAAAAATAAACTGTGTATTAAAAGTAAATATGAACAAACTAAAACAGTCAATTAACCCAGCAAATGAATATTCTAAGAAGTGATAACTAGTGTGATTGAAGGAGCATGAGAAATATTGGTTTACATCTGTATATCTTATGATATTGGGATAAAGGAATTATGTCATATTTCTGCCTGTCAGTAGTTGAACTAAAAAGGGAAATATTGGTGATGATTTGTAACTAAACACAAGTGTTTTTGTTGTTGTTAATAATAATTAGAAATTATAAGGGGACCGAGGAAGAATAGTAGAGAAAATCCTCAGCGGGGAAAAAAAAGAAGATAATAAAGGAAGGACATAAGATAAGGCAGGGGGAGGAGGAACTCCAGTGGTCTGGAGAAATTTCCTTTGAAGATAATAAATTTTGATTTATTTTAAGTTGTAATATTATCTTCAGATTATTTAAATTCAACACACCGCCATGGAGTCGGATCCGACTCATGTCAACCCCTCCTTGTGTTTCCAAGGTGGTATCACTACAGAAGCAGATTGCCCAATCTTCCTTCTGAAGAGTGGCTGGTGGATTTGAACCACCATCCTTTGGTTAGCAGTCAAATGTCTTAGGCACTACGCCACCAGAGCTCCTAGAGATTAGTTATTTACTGGGTGATATGGGTTAACATTTTTTCATTTTAAAAGGTGTTTGTTAGAGTGAGTAAGCATGTGTGTTTTCTTTACAATACCTGACACTCTTTTGTCAAATAGAAAAATTAAGTAAATTACTTCATGATAAAGTACTAAATATAAAGTACTTTGCTAAATACAGTACTAGAATAACAAGCCTGCTGCAGATAGTCCAGTGAGAGTTGTACCAAATACACATTTTCCAACTCATACTACAGTGAAGTACACAGAATACAGAGGCATGTTGTTGTTGTTGTTATGTGGCATCAAGTCCAGCCTGACTCATAGCGACCCCTCCCTGGGTTTCCGAGGCAGTATCACTGTGGAAGTAAATTGCCCAACCTTCCTTCTGAGGAGTGGCTGGTGGGTTTGAACCACCAGCCTTCTGATTAGCAGTCAAGTTCCTTAGGCAGTATGCTACCAGAGTTAATTGCAAATTTGAAGATATTTTGAAATTATTTAATTTCTCTATGCATATTCTATACTGCAAGTTTACATTCAAAGAAGTTATCTTGGGACTTGTTCATAGATTATAATCATTGTCACATGTATGTATACTAGAAAGTATTGGATGGTATTGTGATTTTTTTCTGAATAATATTTCAACACATGACAACTATTTGAGACATAGAACATTCCCTAGAAGTGATGACATTTCTCAGATGGTTAAAATGATTTGTTTTGTTTTCATTATTTTACATGTGTGTGTACCACTTATGAAGTTTACTGAAATTCATTAATTCATACTTTGGAACTCTTTAAATCTTAAGCTTGTTCAGTTTCTGTGCAGTGGTTGTATTATTTTGTGAATAGAAAACTGTGATCTAAATTTATAATTTTTATTTCCCACTGGCATATTCATAGAAAATATTTAGCTGGAAGAACAGTTTGAATTTTTAGTCTATGCAGTCTATTTGAAAATGTGACAAAGAACTTTTTAAAAATGATTTATGCTAGAAGGTAAATTCTTTACTGCTTATTATATAAGAAGAGCATTAAAGCCAGAAACAAGTTTAAGAAAGTGAATTTTGATAATGATTTTTATATTCATCATTGATATCATCCAAGATCCACTTTTCCCAATGCATACCATTGGAGCATTAGTGTAAATAGGAAGTGAAGGTGCAATGGAAGTAAAAGAAACTAACAAGAGACCAAAAAAAAAAAAAAAATTGAATTAGAATGTCAAATAGTTCATTTGAAGGAAAAAACAAATCCTTGGTAAGTCTTGGTTAAGAATTTTGCTGCAGCCTACCTAAGGTGTTTGGCTGCTAACCAGAAGGCTGGTGGTTCAAACTCATCAGCCACTCCGCAGAAGGATGGTTGGGCAATCTACTTC